AATGATTTTGGAAATTATAACCAACAACCTTCTAACTATGGTCCAATGAAAAGTGGAAACTTTGGTGGTAGCAGGAACATGGGGGGACCATATGGTGGAGGTAAGTTAGGATTAAAATTTCAGAATAAGATTTTTGTGTGTGTGTGTGTTTTTTTTAACTTCAAAGGCAAAGTAACATTCTAAATATTTGCTAATGTTCTCGCTAATGAGGTAAACTTTATAGAATTACTTAAAGGATAGTATCAGTGGGGCTTGCAGTAACTAGATGTGACATTTTGTGTGGTAAGAAAAGTAGAGCACTAGCTGGGAGTTCTGTTACAGAATAGTGTTTTTGAGACTATTTGAGAACATGTAAGTCATGTTTTATTACAGGGGTTGTCATATAGTTGTGGGTGGTTTTGAATTACATAGGCAAAGCTGGCCTCCATTTAAGGAGATCCTCATGCCTCAGTCTCTTTAAGCACTGAGATTAGTGTGCAGCCATACTCTGCATAGATAGCCAAATTGAGCACATTGCAAATAGTATAGACATGCCTCTTGAAAGTTATTCTAGATCCTTACTGGTATTAATTTGTTGGAAAAACTTTAGCAAAACTACATATAGGCTCTTGTGGTTAATTTTTTTTTAGAAAGCATTAAAGTGAGAGGTGGTGGTAGGCTTTTTAATAGAATAAATGATGAAATTTAAATACTTGAATACACTTAGATGTTTGACCAAGCGTGTGAGTTAGCAGCATGTAAAATGTTGTGGTCTATTGAGGACTAGATGGCTACAAAGTAAAAGTAACTAGTATCCTGCAGATGTGAAAAATGAAGTAAGTTGTCTCTTTTCTCTCCCAATCATTTTAGGAAATTATGGTCCAGGAGGCAGTGGAGGAAGTGGGGGTTATGGTGGAAGGAGCCGATACTGAGCTTCTTCCTATTTGCCATGGGTAAGTAGTTTTTGAATTTTACAATTATTATTATCTTGGGAGTCCTAGCAGCAGGAGTAAAGCTTTTTAGGATCATGTTATCTTTCCTTAAAATCTGGTTAGATGGATAATTTCATAACCTATTTTTTTTTACTCTTTACTTCTGTTGAAACAGGCTTCACTGTATAAATAGGAGAGGATGAGAGCCCAGAGGTAACAGAACAGCTTCAGGTTATCGAAATAACAATGTTAAGGAAACTCTTATCTCAGTCATGCATAAATATGCAGTGATATGGCAGAAGACACCAGAGCAGATGCAGAGAGCCATTTTGTGAATGGATTGGATTATTTAATAACATTACCTTACTGTGGAGGAAGGATTGTAAAAATGCCTTTGAGACAGTTTCTTAGCTTTTTAATTGTTGTTTCTTTCTAGTGGTCTTTGTAAGAGTGTAGAAGCATTCCTTCTTTGATAATGTTAAATTTGTAAGTTTCAGGTGACATGTGAAACCTTTTTTAAGATTTTTCTCAAAGTTTTGAAAAGCTATTAGCCAGGATCATGGTGTAATAAGACATAACGTTTTTCCTTTAAAAAATTTAAGTGCGTGTGTAGAGTTAAGAAGCTGTTGTACATTTATGATTTAATAAAATAATTCTAAAGGAAATTGTGTAATTATAGACTTTTTATTTTAAATAAGTTAAGGAGTGGGTAGTATAATTAAGGTCCACTGCAAAGCTGTTGTTACATTGTGTAAGATTAAACGCTGATCAGTTGTAAGTGTGTTGTCTGCAATTCATCAGGATTAAATTACCTAGATAACTTAAGGGATATCTCTGCAAGGAGAAACACCTTTTTAGATCTTTTAGATGCTGCTTCTTCAATGCAAGGAAAGGAAATAACCCCAGCGAGGTACTCTTCAGGGACACAGGTCTAGTACAAGAGAACTCTTGACGGCTACTAAGCTCAGCCAGTCTTAAAAAACTGTGCTGTTTCTACAAAGCTTTAACTACAGTAGTGTATAAGGATGCCAACGAAAGCTGAGGGTGTAGAGCAAAGTAGTTCTAAGCTTCAGTTAAACTTCTTTAGGTAAGATCTTATTTACTTTTTCTTTCTTAATTTTTCCTCCCTAAAAGATTGAACTAATAACTCTTCAATGGTCTTTCAGTATAGTGGTTCTTATGTAGTTTAACATAGCTACAAATTGAGTTTAACAATTTATAAACTCAAGAGAATATTTTTTAATAAACCCTGTTTTCCAAATCTGTCATTTACTTAAAATTATTTTGGTTGTTTTTCCCTTTTTTTCCTTCTTTCCCACCCCTTTCCTCTCCATGAAGATTCAGGTGCTTAACATATCATTTTTTTCCCTGCTGGAATTTTAGCATTGATATGAACCATGGACAAGTATATTCTGCTGCCACAAAGACTGTAAAGTGCTTCATTTCAACAGCTGAGGCAAGCCAAGTGATCATTAATAAAGCTTTTCTTGGTTCCTTCAGTGGTGTTGGTAGTAAAATGGTAGGTAAAAGTTAGGCTGAAAGTTGAATAAATCAGATTTCCTGTCATTACACCCTTGTGTATTCATTTCTTGGGTCAAGCGTTTTGAGTGATACAGGGCTTTTATTAAAATGGACATTTGTTCTATTTGATTCAAGCTTTACATACTTAGGATAAGGCTCACAGAAGGTAGGGTGAAATGGTTGTGAATCTATTTTCAGGAAATAGTTTATGCCTTCAAGTAAAGTTCCTGCGTTATAAATCTTGTATGTATCCGTTATAAAATGGCAAGGTTAAAATGAGCTAATTATTGCCCAGTGTTTTGCTGTAAAACAGAGCTGCAGGTTGACTGCTGAAATTTATTTAATACTACTCTCACATTTCCTGGCTTTACTGCCTTTCTAGAATTGTTATATTCAGGGCTTATTCTGTATGCAGCACAGAGTCTTTTTGATCCTAAGGCCACCACTGAAGTTATTTAGGTTCTTTGGACAAACATGATAAACTTCTTCAGATACTTTTTTTTTCCTTTGGCAGGAAGGTGTCTTGCTGCAGGTAACTAATGAAGAAGTGGTCAACCACAGAATCTTCAAGAAATAAGAAATTCTGTACCATCTGAAAGTAGTTCTTGTTGGTGCCTTCATTTAAGAAGCACTCTTTAAGATTAAAGGGAAATGTTTAAAACAAAAAACTTGATTTTAGTACAGGTTCTTGGTAACAAAATGAGTGTTTGTAAAGAAGTAATATCAGCTAGAGATAAATGTATCATGTTTTAAATTAGGTTTTGTGAATAGACAGAATAAGTTTCTATTTTAAATACAAAATTTATAAAATAAATACTTTTTATATGCAAATACTTGGTGTAATGCTTACACATAGAATGTGTGAAACTTGTTCTATTAACATTCAGCTGTCTATAAGATTGCCATCGCCTAAATTTTTAAAGCACTTTTCTCAAAGCATATGCATATTTCACATTCTGAATATTAATACCAAATAAGAAAAGCATTGTGGACATAGTTTATTGTCCCTAATAAAATGCTATTTATGCACTGTATATTCAGCGTTTGAATGCTGCTAGTTTGCTGTATCTTGGACATTGGTGGTGGCTTTTTGAATTGATGGATTTTAACCAGCTAGAGGTCCATAAACTGGTTTGTGCGAAGCACTGAGAGAAAATTGGATCATTTGTCAAATGCTGATCAGTTCTGTTACAATTTATACATGAAAATGTGGTTATCATTGGAATGGAGCTTTTGGATCACAGTAATGGGGGCTGAGTTTAAGCCCTTTTGGTTTAAAACAAGGGTAAAGTTGACTTAATTTCTGAAAAGGTACCAGGTAAGTTACATAACTATTACAAATTTTAATAATGTGCGTTTGATATAGGTGCATCTGTCATCAATTGCGTGCTTGTCAGAATTTTTGGCTCCCAATTCCTCAGGAGAAACATTTTGAATTGAAATGTATGCCTTTCTTTGTTTTAACTTCAGACAAGTCAAGCAAGCCTAATACAGATGCAGATCAAGCATATTTAATAATGCAGGCTGTTCTTAAAATTTAAGTCTTGGAAATACTCCAGATAAATATGATTGGTTGACACTTAAATAATTAGCATATACTTAGGCTTGATGGTAGTTAATGTTGAATGGTAAACACATGGGGTATTTTGCTGTCACAGGAAGCAGTAACACTGTCCTAGGAAGCAGGTGGACTTGTTTGGGTAGTGCCTTTCTTGAGTTTTAACATTACTAATACTTTGTCTATATATATGGAACTGTTTCTGCATTAGCATATTCACTTGGAGGCATCATAGCTTTGAGGTTGTAGATAAAGCTAAAATGAAAAAACTGGCTGGGTAAATTACATGAGTCTGAAAATAACACTGATCATCTTATGGTAATGCTCTACTCATCTGGTATGTTTCAAGAATTCAAACATTGGGAACCACTTTGAAGGTGTTTTCGCAAGTACAGCTTTTGTTATGGTGTAAGCCCTTGCAAATAACATGAAACAAATCTACTTCCCCCAGATATCTAAGGATTCTTAATTTGTTCGGTGGATCAGGTCATGGTTTGGGCCTGTGTCTCTTCCAAGAAAAGAATCTTATGACAGTTGAACCACATGTTCCGCCTTTCATGTCCAGTACAAACATTAGGAACTCCTATCCAAGTGGTGGTTGTACACAGCATATTTTCATTACCTATAGTTCAGTGTTTAAGCTTTAGGTGGGGTTGGACTTGGCCAATTCTGGAATGAGTGTGGAGTTGGTGGTTCTAAAAATAAGTGAAAGAGAAACTTGTGTTACTTTTAACTATTGGTAGGAAATGAGGGTTGGATCACAATTTCACGCAACTATTTTTACCATTTGGTGACATGAATCGTGAATTGCAATTTTTGTTTTAGGTGGGCACTACATTGAGGATAAGTTCACAATTCATTTGGGTACCTGTGGGAAAAAAGCACTCTTTGAAGTACTATGTAAACTGAAGACATGGATGCAAATGCTTGTACTTTCCTTCAATTTTTAGTTAGCCAAGCAGGGACATGCTAGCGAGTACACACACAGGGTTTGTGTATTTGATTGCTGCCTGAAGATTGAGAGTTCATATGTTGTATCCAAGATGCTCAGGTATGACTCATCCAGTGACTTGTGAAATATGATTAATCCTTAGTAACCATGCGCAAGGCATTTTAAAACCAGTTACCATCAATATTTTGATTGCTTGTTGCATAGTTTTTATGATACTCAATTTTAAAAGAAAGGGACCAGGTATAAAAATCAACCTGTCATGGGCTAAATAGTTGATATCACTCAGCAAAATGACAGAATGGTGGTATTTGCGTTTAATAAAGTATTAACTAGGAAAATTCACTAACAGGATAGATAAAACTTGTTTATGTAACCCAAGGTAGTGACTTTTAACAACATAAGGCATTTCATATTGTGATCAATAAATGTGCACCTTGATTCTAAAATTGAGATTATCATATAGCATGCAGTAAAAAATCCAAATGTGGATTAAAAGCATTTTTAAGGAAACTCAGGTCTCCTATGGAAAACTGTTTCTACTAAGGAAATACTTCAAAAACTTGACTGATGAATAAATGGTCAGAATAGTTGAAGTATTTCTAGTTCCAAGACTGTTACTTGGCTCCTTCCTGTTTGCTTTCTACATTGGTGGGGAATGAAAATTTGGGATGTGAGGTTATCCTTCAAGGTGGTTTTAATTGGTGAAAGGGGATATATGTGTATCATTGAGTTCAGATAATTCGGTTTCACTTCAAACTTTGACGTGAAACACTGCATTTTAAGTGGATAAAAAGATGTTAAAAGAACATTACCAGTGTTTTGCTTTTTGGTGTAGCCATAGGATGCTGCCAGAGATGGCACTGCTACCCTAATCATGAATTACACATGAATCGTGGGGGAAGAAAGCCCGCTCAATTTCCCAAAATTATAAATTTTGATTCCTAAACGTTCAGATAAATGAATAAGTAGGGTAAGGTTCCCAAGTAAGTCACTTTGGTTTAAGACCAAGGTTGTGAATACTGTATCCATAGGTGGAAGACTTCCACAGAAGCTGATCCATCTTCAGCTTCTATTTTTTTCTCTTTACCTTTTGGGTTTCCTTTTTTTGGCCTGTAGATATCATTTCTTTTGGCATGATCAGAACAGTTCCGTCATGACTGCACTGTAGTATAAACTGGTTTGGATTAACAGGCCTACCTTGGTCATCTCTTAACTTACTAAAAATATCACAGTAAAGGGCATGCAATTTTTGTTTCATTATGTTAATAACTTTGTTGTATTGGGTTCGCTGTCTTTTAAGCATTTCCTTTCTTGCTTGCAAGTTGCATACATCATCTTCTAAGTTCAAAATCATGTCTAATTTCCGTCTACGACAGTTCTGAGCAGCAACCTTGTTTTTTCCTCTTCGTCTGATGTCACGCATCAGTGAGATCTGTAAGTCTGTCAGGTAGTGCCTACTTAGCATGCTGTTGAAAGAATCAACAGGCATGCGGACAATTTCTTCAACTGAAAAAGGGATATGCAGAGCTTTAGCACGCCATTCATCACGGCTCAGGTTTCTGTCTGTGTCATTGAAGTATCTGTTCATTTTCTGAGATTTCCCAGACCTTGAAAAGGATCCAGAAGTGGCTTCTGGTGCAGGTGGCTGTAAATGGTAAGTGTGGTTGTGACACACATGTTGAAATAGATCACTTTGAAAACTAGGTTCATACCTATGATCCATGTGACAGTGTTTACTGGGTTGTGGGCAATAACCACCAACAGCCCCTTCTAAATTATGTTGGGAAAGATTTTCAAGGTCACTGGTATACCCTGTAGTACCTTCATTACACGCAGAATACGAAGAATTACATTTGGTGATGGATGTGTTACTGTGACTTAAATTTAACTTAAGTCCAGAATCAGAACCTTGTTCTTCAAAAAGTTGAACTTCCACTGGCTCAAAACTGCGTTCTGCAGCCAGTGACATTAAGTTTATCTCGTCAAATATGTTTGCATCAAGGCCATATAGAAGATCTTGGCTTGTTAGATTCCTTATCTGATTGTCAACAGGTGGGTGAAGTCCTGTTGAATTAGTACCAGGAAGGACTTGAGAATTCAACTGCAGCAATGATTCCTGTTGTAACGTAATTGCTAGTGGATCTCTTCTACATGTGTTGCTGGGACACAGCAGCATGGCTTCATGAAGATTTACATCATGACTAACAGCGTGGCTAAAGTTTACATTGTGTGCTGAAGAATTCATGCCCTCATTGATACTACCTGGAAAAGATGATGTGTCTTCCAATGAAATGCCCTGAAAAGGAGTGGGAAAAGGCACTTTAAATAACATAAGCCTACTTTCAAAACAGTTATGCCTACTACAGTTTAGTTAGCTCACTAGTCAGTGCTATGAGTAGTTCCCTAACAATAGCACTGCAATTTTTATAGATTTATAATCTGCAAGTGAGCCTAGCTGCTGGGAATTACATACACATGGTAAATCAGGGATAATCTCAACTGAAGCAGTATGGAGAATTTTTAAGCATCAAACTATGACACATGCTACCAGAAAAAAATGGTTTAGTTTCTAAGGTGTTGACCCCTTTGCTTCAATATGAGTGGTATTGTTTATAAAGTATTTCATGCCTTTGAGATTATTTGTAAGGAGGAATGTATGTACTTGATTAGTTCATGCCTGTAATCCCAAAATGAGCCTGAGGCAGGATGCCACTGCAAATTCAAGGCTAGTCAGCTATAGAGTCAGTTTAAGGCCAACCTGAATGGCATTGCAAGACACTCAGTCCAGAAAAGGCCTGTGTACTTGATTATTAAATGTGGCTTTTTTTTTTTTTTGCGGTACTGGGGAGTGAACTTGGGACCTTACGCTTGCCACTCATCTATAGCTCTGCATTAAGGTCACTGCAGATTAATTGTGTAATGATCAAAGTCAAGATCATAGTTACCTCCAGAGAATATTCAGGCTGTGATGAAAGAAGCTGAAATAAGTCTTCCAGATAGAAAGATGTATCTCTTGTCCCATTTGGATGTCTCTAGGGGAAAAAAAATAAATTTTTCAGACAATGGACAAGTTGTGACTAAAGAAAACCGGTCATAGCTACATACTGGGTGACTTATCCATATTTTATTCCTTTGTCTTGTTTCTTTGTGTATGTGTGTACTAGGGATGGAACTCCAGGACCTTGTGCTTGGCAGGCAGGTACTTAAGCTGCAGAGCTATTTCCCTAGCCCCTAACAAATTTTTCAAATCTAGACCTTTCACTCCAAACTCTACTTACTGTTTATTGCTTTAACCATTGTTTGTATGAGGTTCAGTTACTATTTTAAAATCCACTTTATTTTGCCCATTGGGAACCAGACCTCTGTATTTATCCAAATGTGTTTTTAAGTAGTTCATCATTGGTTGGTTCATCCAATTCTAGCTTGTTGGACTAATGTCTTTGGAGAGAGTCTGATTAATTTTCTTAGTTTTTATATCCTAGAATTACTTTGCCTTAGGACATCTTAAAAGAGTTTGTTTTCAGTGATTGTGTATCCTTTGGTAATTTTAGATTGTCATTAGTTTATGATGCTCTCACTGTAGTGTTTTGAGATTTGCTCTTTTAAAACAGGATCATTTTTGAGATGGGGTCTTGCTATGCAGGCTGGTCTTGGAACTCCCAAGGATCCTCCTGCCTGAGCTTGCAAGTGCTGGGATTACAGGTGTGTGCCATCATGCCTGCCTGACTTCATACTTTAAGACTAGCTTGAAGTTTTTTATATTTTGTATGCTTTTTTTGTACATTCTGGGTCATTTCCTTGTCTCCCAATATTATTAATCAAGATCCTTTCTTCACCCATTGGTGTTTTTTTTTGTTTGTTTTTTTTTTTTGAGACAGCTTTTTGCTGTGTAGTTGAGGTGGTTCTGGCTGACCTTAAGCTCACGCCCAGGCTGGCCTCAAACTCTCAAAGTCCTGGCAGTCTCCTGCCTCAGCCTATCAAGTGCTGGTTATTACAGATGTGTGCCACCTTGCCTATGAGCTTCCCTTTTCTTTAGTCATTTGATTTTGAAGAGAGTAAAGAAAGCATGAACAAAAATCAAACAGGCTAACATATAATACATGTTATAGATTTTCAAAATAATAGCTTATCAATGGCTGATATATTACCATTTTATCAAATGTTAATGAGCATGTACAGTTGGACATATTGAATATTACTGCTTTCAAGAAACAAACTTACCTTTTAAAATATATATATATATATACTTAACAGGATTTATCATGGTATTTATTTGCAACACTAGAGATAAATGAATTCAGGGCCTAGGTTGCTAAACTGCTAAGGCTGGGCTTGAGTTTGTGCTCCTGCTTCAGCCCCCTAGAATGGGAGGGATTATAAGCGGGCATCACTTAGAGAGCTGGCCTCAAACTCTTAGGAATCATCCTGCCTCAGCTTCCTGGTGTTGGGATTACAGACATGCGAACACCACACCTGGCTCTTTTGTCTACTGATAGTATTTGGAGCACTTCTCGGATAATGATTTTTTTTTAAGAGCTCATGTTGGTAGTGCTTGACGGTTTTAAATTTTTTGACCAAGTACCAGTGTTTGTCACTGTATAAATTTTAGATTATTGGCCTTAAGATTTTTCATGGTAACTTGTATAGATTCAGATCCTATATTTAGTTTTTGAGGCTTTTCTAAGTTTATGATTTCTAACAGGTGAAGAGTTGTCCCAGTCTGTATTTCCTGGATATAAGGGCCTTAAGAAACATTGAGTTTTAGGTAGAAAGCTCACATTCCCTTAGGCATAGGCCTGAGAGATTTCTATCTTACTCTCTAAACCCAGTCTCTGTCATGACACCTGATTTCAATTCTTCTAGACTTGAGTTCCTTCATTATTTCTTGAATCTGTAGAAATTCCTTTTCTTCAAGTTCTGCTAATTTGGAGCAGGATATTTGCATTATGGTGTGTATATATCTGTACTTATAATCCTGAGTGAGGTATTGCTGTGTACATCATTCCCTCCCCTAAATGTTTCAGGGTTTCCCTTAGGAGTCAGACCTGGTGGGTGTGTGTGTGTGTGTGTGTGTGGTGTCTTTTCTGCCAAATACCCAGTTTCTTGCTTTTCATATTATGTGAAAACTGTTTCTCAGACTGTCTGTATACTACAGGACTATTAAGTTCAAGCTAAATTGGCAGGCAAGATTTCTTTTGCTCTAACTGGAAATTTGAACATTTGAGTACATAATAGGCTTCTTGGCCAATTAGATTACTGTTTGAGTACTTTCAATTTCTAGTCTGTTAATGGTCCTAAACTTGGGCTTAGTCCTTGGCCAACTACTGACCAAACTTTGTTGGTGATCACAAATGAGAATGGAGATCATCACAAATCTGTTGGATGTCTGTAAAAATAATTCAGTAAGTGGATAAATGGCCTTATCTGCTCAAACAGGCTTAATTAAAACATGGAATTACAGATGAGGGCCATTTTGCTTGAAGTGAATTTAGGGATTTGTCCTTTATACCAGTCTATGGTGCACTTCATTTTTTTGCTTGATTTTTTTTCAGCAATCCAGAAATGGAAGGCTAGGGGTTAAGCCCTCCCCACCAGGCTCTCCAGTCCAGTTTGGGCGGTAGTCACAGAACTTGGCCATTTTACAATCTAATTGCTTGGGTTTGTTTTTTAATTTTTCCTTCAGCAGGAGTGATCTTACGTAAACACGGACAACGGAATCATTAAAAAATCAGGTTGGTGGAGTGGCACACCTCTGTAATGCGAGCATTCTGAGAATCTGAGGTGAGAAGATCATAAGCTTGTAATTGTGTAACTTAAAAGAAACCTTATCTTGAAAAGGATGGTGGTGGTGGTAGCAGTAGTGCTGGGGATGCAGCCCAGTGCTGCAGGAGCAAAGCAAGGCAGAGCAAACCCATTATACCAACACTGCCAGTTTGATTTGTATTGTCAGCCTTTTATAATCCTCATCACTGATTTTCACATAAAATAGAAACATACTCTGGTTTCTCTTCAGAATGCAAATCTTTTGCCTTTTATAAAATTGAAACATTTGTCAGTCGGCAGCTGATTACAGAAACCATTAAGTATATTCAGAGAACTTGGTGGATGCACATTTAGTTTTTCTTTTTGGTGGTACCGGGGTTTGAACTCGGGACCTTGCATTTGCCAGGCAAGCACTTACTTTATCTCACTGAGCTACCTCTCATCCCCCCACATTTAGTTTTTTAAGAGAAAGCTTAACAAATGAAACCATAAGGCGCTATTTCTCTAGTGTAAAGAGTTTTTTTGTTTTTTTTTTTTAGAACCGGGGATTGAACTCAGGCCCTTGCGCTTGCCAGGGAAGTGCTTATTCCACTGAGCCATCTCCCCGGCCCCAAGAATTGTTTCTGAATATTTGACCTACATATATTATGTACTCATCAACTGTTACAATTTAAGTATACATCTGTAGACAGGCTAGAAAAACAAAAGCAGTGCCAGTGTTTCAATAATACAACATTTCATTTTCTTTTTTAAATTTTTAACAAAGCATGTACTAAGTAATAACAAAAGGGCCAGAAAAAATACTGTCAAATGTGTAGTTTACAGTATACAAACATAGTATGTAAATACTAAATGGGACAGTAACAATGGGAAGCTGAGCCTACCCAGAACTAAGGCAGCAGTGCCTTGCTTTGAGTGATATGTTTTTGGAAGCTTATGTTCAAATTGATGTCTATCGTACGAAATTATATTTTAACCTCTCTAAGAAAGCTATGATTTTTGTCATTAATATTTAATGGCTTGCTCACTAGGTGTGCAGTAGTATAGGAGTAACTACAGATAGTTCAAAGATGCAAAGAAAACATTTCTGGGAATCCAAAGAGAGTAAAGGTAAATGCATGACTCCGTGTTAAAGAAGTGACAGATTGGTAAAAATATCCTTTCTGTCAAGTAACTGTGAGGCACTTGGGAAAGTGGGCTGAAATGATACCTCTCTCAGTCTTTCATTATTTATATGACATAGTAGGCACTGATAGTACATGGGGGTAGAAAGGCAGGGAGAATACGTACCAGTTGGGGAAAAGCACAGATAGGTGCCAAATACTTCTGCATTGAAGCTAGAGATGTTAGCAAATGAAAACATGGAGTTCTCTACCTCTCATCTGAACAATGGCAAAAACGGCCTCAGGAAAACAGCTGCTAGGTAGGCAGTTGGGAGGGCAATCTGGACAGGTAAGCACATCCCTGAATGTTCAGGAACCCTAAAGGATGAGCTGGGGCTACAGATGCACTTGTCCTTGTCAGCAGTACGGCAGGTGGAGAACTTCGAGCTACTAGGCAGGAGGCAAAATGAAAGTGGCCCTCTAACCAGACTACCTATCTTGACAAAATTTTAAATGTGTCCTACACTCAAGGGAAAAATTCTGGGGTTGATTTCTGTCAACACGTTTCCAGAGTTCGTATCACTGATACTCCTAGGTTTGGAGAAGGCAGCCTAACCAGCAGGGAAAGAAAAGCTGGGAAACAGGTGGCCCCACACACTCCTCCACAGAACCCAGCCTTGGGAGTGCAGCAGATGAGGCGAGAAGCAGCTGAATTTTTAATCCAGTTTAAGTTTTTCAGAATTACACCAGCAGGGCTGGGGATGCAGCTCAGGGCAAGAGTGTTTGCCTAGCATGCAGAAAACCCTGAGTTCAGTCACCATTACCATAAAAAAATTACACTGGAGTATCATCATTTGCACTAAGATGGCTGAGTGGTTTCTACTCTGAGTATCTAGAAGTCAGGGTCCTGCCCTAGATACCATGCATGGACAGGGAAGTTCTAGTTCCCCTAGAACAGGTTAGAACATGCTAGAAGGGGCAGACCAATAGTGAGTAGGCAAAGAGAATAAAGCTGTTTCTGATTTTGCTCCATAAAATCAAGTAATGTGTGATGTCATGTTACACTGCAGACTGCAGTGGTGATGGGCAGTCTGAGAAGGGCCTAGGCATGATTTCTGTTCTTAAGGGTATTCAAGGCTCAGCCTGAACTCTTACCTCCTGGGGAGGCAACATGCCAAAATAGGCCATGGGAAAGAGAAGCATCAGCGGGGTCCTTGTGGGCAGAAGTATCTGGTTAAAAATCTGTGGAGGGGCCGGGAAGATGGCTCAGTGGAATAAGCGCTTCCCTGGCAAGTGCAAGGGCCTGAGTTCAATCCTCGGGCGCCCCCCCCCCCCCCGGAAAAAAAAAAAAATCTGTGGAGCCTCTAGTCCTGTCCTGGAGCACCTGTGTGCCAGACTTGTGAGCAAAGCCTCTGCTGGGCTGACAGCCAGAGAATGGTCCAGGGGAAAGAGGCTAGACAAACAGGCTTGAGAATTACACCAGCCACCCATTGAGCCTGGCTCCTGGAGTCCTCTTTCTATTCCTCTTCTGTGGGCCAGAAAGGGTGCTTAAAGACAGCGAGGAGCCAGGATGTGGCCCACGGGACCTGTTCCTTAACAGAGGTCAGAGGCACAAAAGGGGCTCCTGGAGGCCAGTGGTTTAGCCTGGGCTGTGGCCATGGCAGGTCGAATGATCTGAGCCCAAGCTGGCTCTCCTGGACCTGACCAGCTGTTTGCTTCTCAGGATCCCTGGGTTCAGAATGCCAGTCGTCTTTCATCTGGGCAAGCCCAATAAGCAGAACCTGCTAGCAAGTTCCTGGAGGGGTGTGTGTGTGTGTGTGAATACACAAAATCTTGAGTTCAGTCAGAGAAAACAACTGCTGATTCCTTCATAAATCTATAGTTTTATATAATTTTTCTTGTATGTCAGATCTGCTATTAACGGTACACTTACATAGAACGTTCTCAGTATATTCTGCCAGTGCCACAAAATCTGCATGAGTGCTGGGTTCTGAAGTACAGTACTTACCTCATTTCTAGATTCAGTGGTCTCTGTTACCTTGTGGTCAGCTTTATTTGCTGTTGTGTTTTCATTTTCATTATTCTGCTGCTGCAGTGATTTTTCCTGAGCTGGTGCTGTTTCTTCATCCTCCTCCATAGATTCACACTTCCCTCTTAATATCTCATTCTCCTGTGAAAGCATCCAATAGTATACTTATTTATATCTCATCAAATAGTCTATAAAATGGCATTGTAGTTACATTGTTTAGTGATCATGAAAACCCAAGACCTACACATTCATTACTTCAGTATCAAAGGAACATTTAACTTGGAAATAAAGGTCAGTCTCTTGCCCTATCTTAAGTATTCATTCTGAGACAGCCTGTCCTACTCTGCATAATTTAAATTACATGCATTTACTAAGCATTTGGATTTAAAATACTTGGAAACCAATATTGTTAGCTGGCAGGTTTTATTTAGTTCTCTGTGGAAACCACATCATACAGCTAAGTTAGAAGGAAATAGTGATCAAATACAAAGATAAGTAGAAAAACCTGGGAAGTATTTTGTAAACTAGTAACAGGTTCTCTGGGAGGCAGGGTGGGTCAGGAAAAGGCTGTGGAAGAGCTGACACTTCACTGTATGTCTGTAACTGCTTGAGTGTTTTATAATACATAAACATTCCTTTTACAATCAGGAACCGTGGATATATTTTTGGCATAGATAGAAGTATGCTTATTCACCTGGATGAGTACTTCTATCTTTTAATTTATCTAAGGGCACTTAAAAGACTACAGAATTCTCCTTGACATCCACAACAGTTAAAATTTAGCATGTACCACTTCTGACACTTTCAACTATGATATTAAAAGCTCGCTATGTGTACTTCTTCCCCTTTAATGTCAAGACTTCTCAAAGCACTTTCGAATCATCTTTTTCTGACTTCTAGATCACAGCACTAACTGGACTAACTCAAAAGTAGAACTCCCAAAAAAGGGTTAGCCTAAAAAAGAAAAGGTAAAGGCCAAAGAAATGCATTTCTATAAATGCCACAAGCAGGGAAAGAAGTCAAAGAGCAGCAAAAGCACACTGACTTGTTGGTGGCCCACTTTGTTTTCCTGCCTTCCCTCCTAACCCGGGGTTAGCGCCCCCGTTCCCATCCCAGTGCAGGCTCCACATGTACCCTATGCACTGCTGCCGGGGGTGGCACTGCTCTGCTCCCCCTCTTTTGCATCAACACTTGTTTCCCACCTGTTGGGAACTCCCACCAGCTTCCTAATGTCCACAGATTGCTCCCAATTTTAACCTCTCATTCCCATGTTAATTACTCTTTAGATCTTTCCCACTTTTCTGCTCCCATATGGAACAAAATCCTCCAGAGTTACCTGGACTCCATGTATTCTCTCTAAAACCTATTCTGAGTCGCTGCTACTGCACTGGAGCACTTCCCACATCTGAGTTTCCATCCTCAACTAATTCATCATTTAGTGACTACCTCCTCCTAGAAACAGCTTCTCAGCTGATATCCAAGTACCTCTCTCTTTGTTCCCCTGGGTCAGCCAGGGCTTTCTGCTTTAATTCTCCTAATCTCTAGATGTAGTACTGCCGCACCTTGCAGCCTCTATGTGTTGGCTGCTTCTCTACTGTGAGGTCTGCCTCCTACAGCACCCTCTCCTCGTGGTTTGCTTTTGCTCCCTCTTCACACACTACCTGGCATTACCATTTCATTTCTCTTAACCACTTTTTTTTTTTTTTTTAAAGAAGCACCTCAGCCTGGAGTGGTAACACAAAATTTGGGAGGTTGAGGCAGGAGGATTTTAAATTTGAGGCCAGCTTGGCTGTATAGCAAGAACCTATCAAATCAATACATTTTTAAGAAGCACATCTACTAAAAGAGAAAGTATGTGGAAATCTCTTTTTCTCCCCCCCAGAACCAGAGATTGAATTCAGGCCCTTGCACTTGCCAGGGAAGTGCTTATTCTACTGAGCCATCTCCCTGGCCCTTGGAAATCTTGAAGGCATAGGGGGTAGGTAGAGTTCATGAACAAAAACCAAACTGCCTGGGCAGTACTTCAAAGATTCAAGAATGGGGATCTAATTGAGAAATTTCCATATGTCAAATGAAATCACCAACAGAGTGAAAAGACAACCCACAAATTGGGAAAAAAATCTTAACCAACAATCACTTAGACAAAGGACTTCTATCTAGAATATATAAAGAGCTAAAAAAAATCAGCCCCCCCAAATTTAAAGACCTCCCAATCCAAAAATGGGCATCTGAGATGAATACATACTTCTCAGAGGAAGAAATACAATTGGCAAATAAAAACATGAAAAAATGTTCCACAGCACTGGTAATTCAAGAAATGCAAATTAACACTGATACCGTCTTACCCCAGGAAAAATGGCTGCCATAAAGAAATCAGTAACAGCTGGGGAGATGGCTCAGTAGAGTAAGTGCTTCCTGCGCAGCGCAAGGGCCTGAGTTCAATCCCTGGTTCCACCAAACCACCCCCCCAAAAAAAACCAAAACCAAAACCAAAAAACATGCTGCAGAGGCTGTGAGGAAAAAAGAACCCTTTTCTACTGTTGGTGGGAATGTAGACTGGTACAACCACTATGGAAATCAGTGTAGAAACTCCTCAAAAAACTAGGACTGGCGGGGCCCGGGAGATGGCTCAGTGGAATAAGCAAGGGCCTGAGTTCAATCCCTGGTTCTGCCAAAACAAAAAAAACAAAAAAAAACAAAAAAAAAACAAAACAAAAAAACAACCTAGGACTGGAAATCCCATTCAACTCGGCTATTCTCTATCTGGGTATTTTCCCAAAAGAACTGAAAACATACCATAGTGATATATGTGCACCCATGTTTATAGCAGCACAGTTTGCAATAGCTAAATCTTGGAAACAATCAAAATGCTCATCACCTGAGGAATGGATGAAAAAGATGTATTTTTATACAATGGAGTACTACTCAATTATTAAGATAGATAAACTTGAGGCCTTAGTAGATAAGTGGATGCAAACAGGCTATACTCATAAGTGAAATAAATCAGACCCACATGTATAAATATTGTATTGTCTCTCTAGAGTAAGAACCTGAAAGAATAAAATCTGAAAGGAATAACATCTAGTAAAATGGAAAGACACAACATAGGGAACAAAGTGAGGGAAAGGGAAAAGGGGAAAATCATATAAGTATATATTCAGGGTAGCTGAGATGATTGTAGTACTAGTTTTTTCAAAGTAGCAGTTAATGTTTAAAATTTTTATGTTGACTAACTCTATATGCTATTACTATATTCTGAGCAGCTATATGGTGTTTTAATTTTTTTTTTTTTTTTTGTTCCTCGAATGCCTTCAGGGCACTTTTGGCCAGTGGGAGAGTTGTGAGGTTCGAACTCCAGCAACCTGAGGCTGACAGCTTTGTGGAAGCAGCCACTTAAAGGACTGAGCTAGGGCCAGGCCCCCTAATGGCAGAAGTGTTTTTTTTTTTTTTTTTTTTTAAACGCCGAATGCCTTCAAGGCATGACTGGCTGTATTGTGTTGTGGGGATCGAACCCAAGCAACCTGAGCCTGACTGTTTTGTTGAAGCAGCCACTTAAAGAACTGAGCTACCGGGCAGGCCCCCTCTGAGCAGCTATATGGAAGACAGCAAAGTTTAATACAAAAACCACAGTTGAATACCTCTCATCTTGTTCTTCTAAATGTGTACCATTTCTAATGTCTTATCAATTTGCATTCTCTTTAAATTTTATATATATAGAAACACTTTGCTAGCATCTATCCCCCAAATCTTGATTTATTGTTTTCTACTGTACTTGTCACAGATACATTACTTTACATATTTGTTTGTTGTCTGTTCCCAGAACAAGTACTCATCATAGGGGGACTGGCCCTAGCTCAGGCCTTTAAGTGGCTGCTTCCACAAAGCTGTCAGACTCAGGTTGCTGGAGTTTGAACCTCACAACTCTCCCGCTGGCCAAAAGTGCCCTGAAGGCATTCGAGGACCAAAAAAAAAAAAAAAAAAAAAACAAACAAGTACTCATCATAGAGCCTTAACAGACATCTGTTGAATAGCTGAACTCCTAGATACAGCATCCTAAGACTGGTTGGAACCCTATTTCTGATGGATGGCTCTTTCCTGCAATTACAATGCTGATTCCTAGTTAAATTTGTGGGAGGGACCCAAAAAAGGTCTGTTGGGTGTCGTGGTGCATGCCTGTAATCCCAGCACTTTAGAGGCTGAGGCAGGAGGATCACCAAGTTTGAGGGCCATCATGGGCTACATAGTTCAGGGCCAGCCTAAACTGCATAGTGATGCCCTACGTAACAGTGGAAAAACATTGTGGGATGCAACTTACCTCTCTCATCTTTTGTTCAGACAAGATTTCTTTTGTTCAACCTGAAGAATATCAAATTTAAAAATCTGGCTTCCTGAGGCAGACAATTCTGTTTACCAATTCTGCAGCTTGTGAACAGAGAAACTCCTAATCTCTAAATCACATGATCCAGTTTTTGGATCATGCAACAAGATCCTCTTAGTCAATCCATAATATGTGAGTTGATAACAGCATGTACAAGCATGAGGATGCTACCTACAATATTACATAAAAACATGGTCAGCAGGAAAAGCCCATATGCATAGTATCATGAAAATATTAGTCTGAAAAGGTCTAGGGTGGCATTGATGATCTGAACAAAGGTTTCTGCAATGGCCTGAGAAACTGAGGGAGAGACTGCAGGCACAGAAACTATGTGACCCAGAGTGCACACTGTAAAAAGCAAAAATTAGGTCAAAATTCCTATTATATAATAATGTATCATAACTGAATAAAGAATAAGTCCACTTGAATATAAGCAGCCAAGCATATTAGGGGAAAAGAAAATATTCCTTACAGTGCAATACAACTAATAAATACAGAGGGAAAGTGTCAGAGTTAGGAAACCATCAATGATAGATACTAAAATAACTGAAGAGAAAAAGGGATTTAAATAGTCTTAAAGTTTCTTGGCAGAATACTTGTTCATTACAAAAAAAAAAAAATAGCACTATGGGAGGAGTCAGGCAGGTAGCATCTTTACCCAAGTGATCAACCAAATAAGCAGATATGCTGACGAACATTTCCAGACTAAAGATAACTAAAGAGACAGGTTAGATGCTGATCCAGAGCAAAAAGTAACTATTAA